AGTACACTAAAAATTTTAAAACTGAAAATATTTACTTTGATGACATGAAGGCATCTCTCGATAACATACTAAACTGCTTTCCTAGTAAGTAAAATATCAGCCAAGGAGGCGCTTTGGTACGAAGTTTCAAACGTACGTTTTCTTGTTACCTCGGAAAGTTCAAACCGTGCTCTCTCACGGGCATTAATATATGTATAAACACGGTGACCCTGTTTTTGAGCCTGCATTTGTGATTTAGAGGCTATTTATTAATTTACAATCAAGCTGATCTGTATTTGTAGAAACTTTAATCCATATTTCTTTTAGTTTAATGTTGCTATTATTCATTTTATTCGAGACTAGCGGCTCACCCTCGCTTCGCTCGTGTTCGCATCTAACAAAAGAAAGAAAGATAAGCACACACATATCTATCCCACGGGAACCGTTCATTTTCCGGGATAAAAAGTATCTAAAATGTTGACTTGGGATATAAGGTACCACCACGCAAAATTTCATTTCAATCAATCTTACAGTTTCGGAGATTAGCCCGTTCAAACAGACAGAGAAACAAAGAACTGACTCGGGTTTTAGCTTTTTTTTTTCTTTATACAGATATTCGACCTCTACAGTTTTATTATATGTACAGATTTTCAAAGGATTTTGAGCCTATTGTACCTATAAACAATTTCCTCTGATAGTTGTTCATCCACAAAGTTATTTTTTGCTAGGAAATTGAAGCGACATTGTTTTCAGATCAAATTATTTCGTGGTTTTAAAAATGAGTACTAGAGGTTAGATTATAAATTTTATCAGTTTTTGATAGTTGCAAAAAAGTATATGTAGATATCCAAAGTTCCTCATATATGCATCCTTCTAAGGATTACAGAGTTCCGTTTGATTAATCGATTAGCGAACGCATCATATAAAATTACCTACATTGACTGACTTATTATTAACTAACGACTCGCCCTTGCTTCGCTCGGGTTCTTCCCTAGCCTGATTCATACAAACTTTCATCCCCATTTTCACCTTAGGGGCAAGGAATAATTTCTGGGATAAAAAGTATCCTATGTCCCTGGGTCTGAAACTATCTTCTAACCAAATTTCATCTAAATCAGTTCAGTAGATCCAGAGATTACCCCCTACAACGTTATAAACTCACAAACTCACAAACTTTACCTCTTTATAATAATATTAGTATCTAAGATAACGTTTAGACTATATAGAATATCTGTAATGGCATGATTACAACAAAAACACAGGTGTATAAAGAATTATTTTTTGAATTAATTCCCAAGGAGATAAAAAACTTAACAACTTAACTTATTAAATGTTTACTGTAATAATTAATGAACTATAATCTAGAATTTTTAGGAACTTCTAAAATATTAGAGAAATATCAATTAACGAACGATGCTGAGATAGATCTTTAGTTTAATGGAACTTTTTGGTAAATACGAAATAACAGATTTCTAACGAATGAAATTATTTGAAATGAAAATCAAACGCATAAAAGTATGTTTAAGAAGAAAAATTTTCAATGGTCGTTAAAATGAAATTTATTTTAAAAGTAAAAAAATATTCCACTGCAGTGCAGTCCTTGTCGCGGATGCGTTCTGAGCTTCTTCCTGTCCTCAAGCGAGGCTTTGAAATATATATTCGTGTGTAAAAATTGAAACAATCACAAAACGTTTTATTATTGGTATCTTATGCTATAACAGAAAAACCCTGAAAAATATGAAACCTCTCTAAATAAACGTATTTCACTACACGAATTTACATGCCGTAAAGGTATTATCTTTACAATTATAATAAAATTGTAACTAAGTCGAATCTGTACATTTAATATTTTTTGGAAAATCTTATTTAAATAAACATTATTATCGATACAGAGGCCGAAGCTACAGATTTTAGAATTTTTGTTTGTGTGTCTGTCTGTTACCGCATCACAGAATAACCACTGGAGGGATTTTGACGAAATTTGGTATGGTGATAGCTGATTATCCGGGTCAACATATAGGATACTTTTTACCGCGGGAAAATGTCTCATTTCTGAGAAAAAAATACAAAAACTGCAATGTAAGAGTATACTAATATATAAAACCTAAGAATTTGGTTTTTGGTCATCTGAACGCGAACGGAGCCGTGGGCAATGCTAGTCTATACATATTTATAATATATCTATACATATAATAAATTATCTTATTACTTTTCTATGTATATATAAAATTCTATCGGTAATAAAAACGCAATAAATAATATTATGCTAGATTTCCATTTAGAGCTTAAAAATGTCTTATGAATTTTGATTTGCTAGAACTACAATATTTTCTATTAACTTCTAAGACGTTATTGAAGATTTATTATTATAGAAATAGTTGAGGTATTTTCTTTGAATCAGTTTTAATATGAAGCTTTGCGGTTTCATCATAAGTTTCAAGCGAATCGTTGTTAATGCAGATTACAGTTTATAACTGATTGTGTTCAAGCCTTAGAAAGTATTTTAATATGGGAGATCGAAATATTAATGTTACCTGTTTGCAGAAATAATAATATAATATCAACATTTTTGACTGCTTAGACTCCATGGATTATCTTGGGGTAAAAGTTCAGGTAGGGGGTTTCGGGTGATAAATCGTTCTAGATTAGTCTTATGTCTGGAAAACGCGTGTTTTCGAATTTTCATGCGGTTTTTTTGCATTATTCTACGCAAAATAAGGTCGATAATTTCGTACGCTCGGGCATAAGCATCATGCTCAAGCGGCCAAGGCACAAGATTGAATATCATAGGCGTGGGTTCGAATCCTGGTTCGATACAAAGGTATAATTTATTTTTGTTTTTTTTTTTTGTATTATTCAAGTTTTTAGTTTTTTTTGAAAAGGAAATTGTACTGATGACCAAAAACTCCGAGCGAAGATCGGTGGCCCAGGTACTATGACATAATATTATAAATGTGAAAGTAATTCTTTCTGTCTCTCTGTCTGTTACGTTTTCAAATCTATATCACTGAATAAATTTTGATTAATTATGGTATAGAGATAGATGGGATCTTGGTAAAGGACATAGCCAACTTTTTGTGGCTAAAATAAAACTCGAAAGGGGTGAAATAGGTGTTGAAATTTTAGACCAATACCAATTACTTAAAGTACACTCACGATAACTATTTTTTTTATAAAATCATAAAATGTTAGTCGCTATATATTATATAAGATAAAAATAATTAAAAAAAAAAACTTTTAAATTGTTAAATCTAAAAGCTTTTCATATAAAGAATCTTCGTCAATCTTTGAATCTTTATCAATAAATCATCAAAATATGATAGCTGAAGCCCTTACTAATGATACAAAGAAATTTTATTAGAGTCATATCAGTAAAAACGAGTTAAGTTAATGAGCAAAATATACCACAAAGTATAACATAACAATTTATAATGCATTAAGTAATTAAGGCATGTAAGGGTTTCCAGCTGGACGTATTCCTAGTTGTGACACTAATGTCCTCGTTGAAGGCAATTTATAAGTCGATAGTTTTATTTGTGACTTTATCTATACTTATGATAAATTACAAGGGTTGTGTTTGTATATGTATATAATTTTTATTAATAATATTTTTTTTAAATAAGTTTTATTATTTACTTAGAAAATATAACAATATTTTTAAAATGTATGTGTCAAAATAAACAAATATTGCAAGGTACTTTGGTGCCATTTTTTGAATTTTTGAAGTCATTTTTGTAAAATAGTGGGTAGGCACTGTTTGCAACAAGTGTATAACGTCTTTGAGACGTTTATAATCTTAGTCTCTATATATAGGACCCTGGGAAGGACATAGGATAAAAAATATCCCGGAAATCATTCCTTAAGGGGGTGAAAATAGGGATAGTTTATATATTGAATTCACGTAAATTAAAGATATAAATTATATCTATTCCAAATATTCACTCACGCACGCACACAAAGAAAACACACACACATACACAAGCGTCAATGTATATTATAATATATAGTATATATATTGTAACAATTATTCAAATATTAATTAGGCCATATTGATTGTTAACACGTATCATAGAATACGCTAATGCTTGTACCTACATACACCTTGACACCCTGCGGCGGTTTCAAAAGTAAACTAAATTAGCCTCTCTTGGAGGGAACATAAATTATGATTAATAGCAACGATATCGAATTAGTTTGTTTATTGAGTTCTTGCTGTGTGTTATATAGAAATCTTACTACTGAAGTTTGGTTGGATGGATGTTTGTTTGTTACTTAATCATGCTAAAACCGTTGAACGCGTCTGCATAAAATTGTGCATAAAGATAGATTCTAGTCTGGAATAGCACAAAGGCTACATTTTATCCCTGAAAGTGTACGGTTCGGGGTTTTTGTTATCATTTTTCACTAGCTAATAGTTTATTAGTAGTATATTATACTTTTAGAACTATCGATTTCTACATACATTTGTTATTTAATGAGATATGAAATTAATTCTATTATGTATGAACTATTGTTAAATAAATATTCCAATTTTTTCATAAAATCACCTATTATTTTGTATTCAGCCCTTTTTGACGTCTCACTGCTGATTTCACGTTTCTTTCGAAAACTTGTTAGATCTCTCAGACACGCAGGTTTCCACACCATGTTTTCTTACACGGTAAGGCAAGTGGTAATCATATTGAAAATGCTTTGCACATGAGAGTATCAGATATGCGGGGCCCGTTATTTGAACCAGCTTTATTCTGTTTCCCAAGCAAGCACTTTACCAATGGACTATCACAGCCTTTGTAATAGATATTTGTCTATTGCTAAGTCTATGATTTCATAGTTGCATTAGTTTTATATTATTACTCTTTAGTATGACAATCACTTATTAAAGTATTGGTATTAAGTGTAGCGTATCGCAATATCCAGTCCATCGGCTTCATAGTCCAAAAAGATTAATTCATTCGTCTATCAACTTAGTATATGAATTAAGTCATGAAAACAAACTAGTTTATATATCAATCTTATCTTACCAAGAGAAACCTCGTGAACCTCGTCAGATCTTGGACCCGTATGTGGATTCCGTTGTCCTGTGGATAGAAAATAGGAGTCAGTTTTGTTACATATTTATACAAGGAAGTAGATGTTTTAGAAGTGTAAGACTATATGAAATTTACTGCTTCCATATACAAACTTTCAATCCCCATTTTCACCCCTTTAAAGCATGATTTGCGGGATAAAAACTACTTTATGTTCTTTCCAAGGTCTCAAACTATCTTTTAATCAAATTTCATCTAAATCGGTTCAGTAGGTTCGGAGCCTATTACAAACAAACAAACAAAAATATACCTATATATTTCCCATAATATATTTAAGAAATACGAGCTCATTTTAATAAAGTATATTGTGAAAACGTAAAAAATATATTTTAGTGCGTAAAGAATGAAGATATTAGTAAAAACAGCACAATATGCAGCGGAACCCTCGATGAACGAGTCAAAATCATACTCACACATATGAAACTCATTACAGCCATTATTATTAGTTATAACGTAAAGAAAAAGAGTTTGTTTTTTAGTAGTTTGAACGCGGGCGAAGCCGCGGGTACTGCTAGTATATATTATAAATATAAATACCCATGACTAGAGTACAAACATTGTGCTCATCACACAAATGAATACACCCAGCGGGACTCGATCTTGCGACCGATGCCACAGTAAGTAAGGTCACAAACTGAGCCAAACGTGTCGTCATATGGTCTTTATGTCGTTAGTCATAAAGGTAAAATCAAAGGAACACAAATCGGGACACGTAGAGTAGAACTTTGAATCTTGAATTCGTTTTCAGTAGGGGAATACGTTTAAGGTTTCTATGGTAACGCCATAGATTTAGTAGCGTTGCTTTTCAAATATTTTAATGATTATGCTCATTATATTACTACTAGACCTACTCGTATCAGTTTTGTACATTGTCTGTCTCAGTCAATATAAATAATCAGTTTTGTGAAATTTGAATTTAAATATTTTAATTTCACTAAAATATAATATGATGTTAATTTTTTCTAGATTTACGCTAATATCTGATGTTTTAAATACACTATCTTTTCGGGTTTTTTCGCAGATTTCTTTTGCTTTTTAGTACCCGACGTATTGAATGTTGTGAAGCGAAAAATTCCGAAAAGATACAATGGTTTTATTTAAAATTATATTGACTTAATATATTTGATAAGGAAGTGGTAGCACAGTGGTAGCGCGCTCGCTTGGGAAACCGAGTGAAGCGAGTTCAAATCCCATCATCATCCTGATCATTGGATCATTTCCAACATGATTACCACTTGTCTTAACGGTGAAGGAAAACATCGTGAGGAAACCTGCATGTCTGAGAGAACTTAGCAAGTTTTCAAAAGATATGTGAAGTCCGCCAACCCACACTTGGCCAGCGTGGTGGACTATGGCCTAATTCCGTTCGTACTGTTGGGAGGCCCGTGCCCAGCAGTGGGGCGTTAAAAAGGGCTGAATGAACATACAATATATTTGATACCACTTCTATTGGGATTTTCATTTGGCAACATATCGACGTAGTATTGAGGCGAGGACGTCGTGCGGTTACATTTCATTTAACTTTAGACCCCATCCCCATCTTTATCTCGTAACGAGGGTGCTTATTAATTTAATTAATGTACCGATAATTTAAATAGGAGTAGAATTATGCCTTTAGTGCATTTGGATCGTACATAATATATATATATATATATATTTATATAATAAAATTTTGACTAAGCCGAATCTGTAAATAAAATATTTTTTTGAAAATCGTATTGAAATAAACATTATTATCGATACAGAGGGCGAATCTATAGTTTTTAGAATTTTTGTCTGTCTGTCTGTCTTTTACCGCATCACAGAAAAACTACTGGACGCATTTTGATGAAATTTGGTATGGTGATTGAAATATATATATATATATATATATAATATTTGGTTAGGATTACGAATAAGAAGATGGAAAAACAAATTTTACGAACACTAAATGAACATGTAAATAAACACACATCAAATTTAACTGAAGGTCTCTACTTTCTGAATTTAAATTTGTTATAGAGTTATCCAATTTCTAAACTTTGTTTTGGGATCAAGGATGTTGACCACCAAATTAAATTTTTGATGAAATTTATAACTAGCATCTAAAATATAGGCAATGTTTAAAATTTCATTTGTCTATTCTCTCGTTTACTCTTGTTTACTCTATTCTTATTATTATTTTAAATATTGAATCAGTTTTTTTAGTAAATTATTATAACTCACTAATATAACATGATGTCAAATACCTAACAAGCAAGAATTACGTCTTAGTACGGAAAAATAATATTTATTTTTAAAATAGCTAAAGTAAAATGTACATTTTAATTTAAAGAATATATATTAGATAAATAAAAATGCAATTTTCTTTGTATCTCCCAACAATCACGGTTTACACCAGGTCCGCTTTCCCACTAAGTCGTTTTTACTTTGTTCTAGCAAATGCAACGTCTAAACGTGAGTGTAGCGGAATCTGGGTGATTTAAAAAAACTTTTTTTTGTTAAACTACGTATGTTTAATATGTTAAACTTTTAAGCATTTAAAATGTCTCTATTGTTATATATCCACTATACATATATGAGACAATTACCTATACCTAGTACTTAAGATACTAAATATACTATAAAATCTTTTTGGTTTTTCCGCAAATATAATATTTTCATTTTTGGTTGGCGATGATTCGAATGCTTTACAACAAACACGGTCACGGGAGAGATATATTTTCTGTAAAGCAATCAAAATGCCTCCGGATCCAAAAATGAACATAAATAGGCGAAAAAATTCGAAAAGAGTTTTATTTATAATGTCAAATATTCGCGTAAATCTAAAAATGTATTATTTAGTACCTCGTTAGAATGGCATGAAGATACTTAGTAGTCCTGGTCATACGATATAATCTATACATATAATAAAATTATAACTAAACCGAACCTCTACATTCAATATTTTTTGTAAAACGTTATTGAAATAAAGTTATTATCCATAGAGGCCGAATCTATAGTTTTTAGAATTTTTGTCTGTCTGTATGTTACCGCATCACAGAAAAACTACTGGAGCGATTTTGATGAAATTTGGTATGTGATAGGTGGTTATCCGGGTCAACATATAGGATAAAACCTAAGAATTTGGTTTTTGGTCATCTGAACGCGGGCGGAGCCGCTGGCAATGCTAGTATTATAATATATATACATATAATTAAGTCCGTATATTTACTTTACATAACCTGCTAAGTTCTTTAAAAGTCCAAAGAAATAACTCATTTTTCACTCAACTTTTATGTGTGTGTCAACAATTATGTGTGTGTGCGTGCGCGTGCGTGTGCACGAATATTGAGTAGCGATGTGTGTGGGTGTTTGTTTATTTGTGTGTTTGACAAAAGCTGCTATATATTTATATATTTAATGCTTTTTTAGATTTACGCGAATATTTGACATTTTAAACAAAACTATCTTTTCGGATTTTTTAGCGGATTTATTTAACCAAAAATGAAAATAAATCCGCGAAAAAATCCGAAAAGATAGTTTTATTTAACATTTATATATTTATATAAATATAGGTATAATTAAAACTACAAATAAAAAAATATATGAGCGAGGGTAAGTCGCTAGTATCTTAATATTATTCATTGTATAACACGTTCAAAATACTCAAACATTTTACACTAGAACATCATGAGCTCTTGACCTTTTTTATTTCGTGTAATATTTTAATTAATTATCATTTTAATGATATAAGTTACGAAAGTTTATAAGCTGAGTACTTTAAATAAATAATATGAAATATAAACTCGTTATGTCTTAATGTTGACCACAAAAACGAATTAAAATACATTTGGAAATATATGATTCTAAGAGAAAGAGAATAATTTTACAGTCAAAATCTTAAGCTGATATTATTAAGAGAGTTACAAGAATTAGTGTTTATATGAATTTTATATTAATTAATAGCAATAAGTTAAAATGTCGCTTAAGTTTGAGAAACAAATTTTTTTAGACTACTCTTATTGTAAATGTCAATATTCTATTTTAAAACTAAAATCTAATATTTATAAATCTTATAATATTAAATGAGCGTTATTATATAAATTATTATAAAAAAATATTATTAAGTATATAATATGATTACGTGTTTCTTAGAAACGTATCTAATAATTTGGACAAATTTTGTATTACGTAAAGTTTTTATTTTTAAGTGTATCTATATATTATGTCCAAAAATACGCAATTTTTATGTCTTTGCAGAAAAATGCCTAGGAAAGCTCTGTCGCCCAGGTACTGAGTATTAATATATGCCATATCTCAGTGCTTTGTTTGTTATGTTCCACGTTATCATTTTCTTAATAAACTAAGAAAGCATCACTCTATATTATATACTCTATTTATACTTATCTCGTTATTATTTTCCTGTGTAGGTACTCAAAATTTTTGATTCCAAATGAAAGTGTGAAGTTTTTCGTTTTGAAAACTATCTTTTTTAAAAATTAAAAACAATAACATCCATTTTCTTTTTAAATTAATACATTTCTAATTTATCAAAATAGCTAAAAAAAGGTATGCCTTTTCTGTATATGGTAATGGTAAAAGTTATTCTTATCTAATGTAACCATAGACATAGAGAGTGGACTGAGTGTTTCTTTATCAGCCGTCAGCTAAAAATAGCGGAAAGGCACGACAGAGATAAAATGAATGTGCGGCCAAAAGTTTTTTGTATTCATTGAAATACGATTTCCATTACAACCATTACCATACCATTCTACATTCCATTATATTATTATAGTTTTTGATAAATTATAATCTTATACTTTTTTATATTATATAAAAGTGACAGGTATTAGCCGCACGTTCGCTTTCTCTCGCTCTAGAGAGTGGTCAATTTCATGAGAGTATTGTTCAGCCCAGGTCTATGAATATAGCTAATGAGAATTTGTCAGTTATAAAGCTACAAAATTGAATTAACATACATGCATATATTTGTTATTCGATTCTCTTGTTAAAATTGACAGTAAAAAAGAAAAATGTAACACCTGAGTACGAATGTCAAATAATTGTATTTTATCGTTTATTCTCTGTGCGATTGCTTTATTTTATAGCAGTGGAGTATTTATTTGATTTAATTTTTTCTGTAATTAACTTAAAATAAGAGATGTACATTTTTGTTTTTGTTCTTTTAAAATTATAAATAAAAATACATATAACCATGGCACAGTGGGCTTTGTTACTGGAATGGATTCTCAAGCTGAAAGTCGTGAATTTTATTACCACCTTAGGTTAATTTTAATTATCGTAGAGGTTTGTCCTGGGAGCTTTGGTAATATGATATAGTACAGTCGAAATAGATAATACTAGCGACTTACGTCACTAGGTTGGTTTCCCATAAATACTTTCATCCCTATTTTCACCGCCTTACGGGATGTCTTCTGGGATAAAAAGTATTCTATGTCCTTCCCAGGGTTTCAAACTACCTTCTTACCAAATTTCATCTAAATCGGTTCAGTAGATCCAGAAATTACCTTCTACAACGTCACAAACTCACAAACTTTACCTCTTTATAATATTAGTATAGATAAGCAACAAACAATTACCCATATAAAGTTTAAAACTTGTTTGCGTTAACATATATCGCGATAATTATGACTCACTCTCTAAACCAAAAAAATATTTTTCGTATCATTTTATAGTTTTTCAAGCCGCTGTTTCCTGAATTTATATTTTTTTTTTGTAAAATGTATATTAAAAAAAAATATTACCTTCCTACTCAGGTAAGGTAAGGTCAGGTAAATTACCCTTTCTTCCTACGCGTGTAAATAGTATAGAAATGACACATCTAAGAATTGAATACTTTAGTTTAAGTCAAAGTCGTCTTTGCAAAGTGAACTTCACATTCCGAAGTTACAGAAGTTTCAATCAGTTGATTTCTCAGACCTATAGCTATATAGTTAATATTTCCATCTATACATATAATAAAATTGTAACGAAGCCGAATCTGTACATTAAATATTTTATGGAAAATCTTATTTAAATTAACATTATTATCGGTACAGAGGCCAAATCTTTAGTTTTTAGATTTTTTGTCTGTCTGCCTGTCTGTCTGTCTGTCTGTTACCGCATCACAGAAAACCCACCGGAAGGATTTTGTTGATATTTGGTATAGTGATAGCTGATTATCCCGGTCAACATATAGGATACTTTTTACCGTGGGAATACATCTCATTTTTGAGAAAAAATGCAAAGACTGCAATGTAAGAGTATACTAATATGTAAAACCTAAGAATTTGGTTTTTGGTCATTTGAAGGCGGGTGGAGCCACGGGCAATGCTAGTATAATATATATCTAAAATTAATAATATCAATGAAGTATACGAGTACTTGCCATAGTAAGTTTATAGTACGCATTTGACAACACCAATAAAACATTTAATTTGCTTAAAGTAGAACTTTGTCATAGAGTTACTACTACATTTTCATTTTGTAAATAAATGCGACCTATCAATTTTCGCTTTGGTTATATTATTATTTCTTTACTTTTTAGGGCTTTGTA